CCCCAAAACCCCAAAACCCCAAAACCCCAAGATTTAATGTCAATTAAACATTAGGTAGTCATTAAATTAAGATTTGTGAATAAAAATATCTTTGAACCACTCTTTTTAATTTTATTGAATTTTTATTATCATTCATTCACTATACAGATTGTATCTGTTTTCATTTTTTATCAGATAAATGTCATTTTTATTTAGAGCAGCTGATAGTGATGCAGAGAAAATTGTAATGCTCTGCAAAACTCCATCCTGCCATAATACTTACTTTACTATGTTATCTAAATTAATAGCTTCTTGTCCTACTTTGTCTAGACCTTCCTTAGTTTATTCGTATCTAACATCTTTATTCAACCAATAGTCCATGTTGGTTTAGGCAACATACCATTATTCATCTGAAAGTTAATTCGTGTGATTTACTCCTTCTCTTTCTCTAGTAATAACAATACCATCATTCTTCTGAATACCTCCTACGATGATGTAGCATGGTGTGTTGATTTCGGTATTACTAAGTTTTTGAACAGCTTACTTAAAGTTAATTCCCTCCTATATCAATGTTTCCTAAATCAGCTAAGCAGTAGGAATCACTCCAGCTAGTTCTTTTTCCATATTGATTTCAATATTTGACAGGTTCCTAATGAATCTTACATTGTAAGAGACAGTAAATGAATCATATCTAAGTCCGGTGTAAGATCCAATGTAACCAGCAATAGATGGAGCTTCAGCTGCTATCTTTCCATCAACTTTATATAATGCCAGGTATACTAGTCTGTTAAGAACATCTGGAAAGTCAAAGTCAAGATTCCTTGCGTGAATTATGGTGCCATTCTGCATTCTAGCCACGATTGATGTACAGAATGACGAGAAATCTACGATTGAATTCACAAAGAATGTTTAATAAGTCTCAAGGCCTATCTTTTAAGCCAAAGTCTCCATAGCATAATATGCATGTGGATTTACCTCGGAAAACTAGTCGATATTGTCCTTGAAGAAGTCTTGTTTAGTCTGAGCAATTGAATGAATGAATAAAGTTTCCATTTTTAAGATATCGTCCTTAAAATGATCAAATAATTGATTGTATCTCACAGAGGGATGGAGGTCAAAATCAATGATGAATCTAGGAATATTATCTTAAAGTTAGCCCAAAGTAGCAAAAACAGAGAAAAGGTTGATAAATCTCATTATTAATATTTATAAATGCAATCATATTTCTCCTCAAGGGGTTTTGGGGTTTTGGGG